GCATCCAGGCATCACGGCAACTTTGGAGTTAGTCAAAGCCCGTTTCTGGTGGCCGTCCCTCACGAAGGATGTAATTAATTATGTTCAGAAATGTAAAATTTGCCAAAGCACGAAGGCATCTCACCAAACCCCTGCTGGCCTGTTACAACCACTACCGGTTCCGCAACGGCCCTGGTCCCATATAGCGGTGGACTTCATTACGGATCTCCCTGTTTCCCAGAACAACACAGTCATTCTCACGGTGGTTGATCGTTTCTCCAAGGCTTGTCGCCTAATACCGTTGCCCAAATTGCCCTCTGCCTTTGAAACCGCAGAAGCCCTGTGCAATCATGTATTTCGAATGTTTGGCTTACCTGATGATATCGTCTCAGACAGGGGATCCCAATTCACTTCCCGGGTATGGTCCGCTCTCTGTAAAAATCTAAATATTAATGTTAGTCTCACCTCAGGGTACCATCCTCAATCCAACGGCCAAACTGAACGTATGAATCAAGAAGTCATTCGATTTCTACGTTCATACTGTCATCAGCAACAGCACGACTGGAGTCGCTATCTGATGTGGGCAGAATATGCACAAAATTCATTAATAAAGCCAGCCACGGGTATTACGCCATTCAAATGTATTCTTGGCTACCAACCACCCCTGTTTCCATGGTCCGGAGAACCCACTGAGTTACCTGCTGTCACGGATTGGCTGCAGCGGAGTGAGGATGTCTGGAACCAGGCTCACAGACATCTCATGAGGGCAGTCAGGAGGAGAGAGATTCAGGCGAACCGTCACCGACGCCAGGGACCCACGTATCAACCGGGGCAGTGGGTGTGGTTGTCGACACGAGACCTTCGTCTGAGATTGCCCTGCCGCAAACTCAGTCCCAGGTATGTAGGGCCATTCAAAATTGTACGCCAGATTACTCCAGTGTCTTTTCGCTTAGCCTTGCCTAATCATTATCGTATTTCTCCTACTTTCCACATGTCATTACTCAAACCCGCTGGTGGTCCACGAGAGGAGGCGGTTGAGGAGGAATCGGAAACCAGGACCCCTCCACCTGTCATGATCGAGGGCGAGGAAGCTTACCTCGTTCGAGAAGTGCTGGACTCTCGACGTCGGGGTGGCGCCCTCCAATATCTGGTGGACTGGGAAGGGTACGGTCCAGAGGAACGGTCCTGGGTGAATGCTAGAGATATTCTAGACCCAACTCTCACGGAAGAGTTTCATCAAAGGTTCCCAGAGAAACCAGCCCCCCGACAGCGCGGTAGACCCCGGCGTCAGGTGCCTTCTCGCTTCAGGAGCCGCTCGCAGGAGGGGGGTTCTGTTGTAAATGAGGGCGATGCCAACCCTCTTGTGCACCACCAGAGGGAACCATCGCCAGAATTCTGATTCGACTCACGGACTCAAAATCCCATAAGCCCTGCTACCTGGCACTGATTACGGTCCAGGTGCAACTCATCAGCTCTCGTGTATATATACCACACTCACGCTCCGGTTCTTTGCGAAGTCTTGATTTGCCTGGCTGTCATTTCTGAGCGTTCCATACTCCCTGCTTCGGACTGATCTGTGTTTCTGACCCTGTGCTTGTTCTACGATTACGAAAGACATCTGCCTGCCCCTGATCTCCAGCCTGTTATTCTGACCAGTAAGATATCTGCCTGCCTCTGAACTTTTGCCTGTCCCACGTTCTGTCTCCTGGATTGCCCCTTTGTGTTTGTTTGTATGTGTGCTCTTAATAAAGCTTGCAAATGGATTCAATGCCTTCTGACTCATCACAACACATTGTTTACGGATAAGACAGTCAAAAGACTTAGTCATGTTGTCAATATAACAGTGTACTCTTGAGGGGTGTTCTGATGTAAACTATGGCTACAGTTTTAATGACAAATATTTTAAACTGAAGGTTACACCTCATGTGAAAGTTTGCTATCAAGAGACTGGACAAGATTCACATCTATGCTTTTTATGTTTGTACTGTAATTTGTTGACAGACCATGTCATTGTGATACAGAAAGGAAAAGACAACACTGCATAGCACAAAAAAAGAAATAATAAAATAAATAAAATAAATGTGAACATAGGACAGTCTCCGTAGGGAAAGCTGTACATGGAGTGGTGTAGGAATTACAGTGCAGACTGTTCCTGTCTGTTGGACCACAGATTCTCATTTACATCACAACATTTGTTCTTCCATTGTAACATTGTGTTGTTGTATTTTTCCCCCAATTTCTGTTTAATGCAAAGAAGATTTTTTTCAACACATTTCTAAACATATAAGATTTAATAACTTATGTCTTTGCCATGATGACAGTAAATCATATTTTTCTACATATTTTTTAAGATACTAGTATTCAGCTTAAGTGAAATTTAAAGATTAAACTAGTTAGGGTAAGTTTGGCAAGTTAGGGTAATAAGGCAAGACAAAAAAACTTTTTTGACATTTTTACAGATTTGTGTGTGCTGAGAATCATTTAAGACAACAGTAGCCCGTGTTAGCTTTAATATTAGGGGAAAAAAAAACTGGAAAATTTTGAGCTTTTGTCAGCTAATTTCATCTTCAGGTTTAAATTCATTTTGTGGCGGGATCAAAATCGGTGACATGGTGCTCGTCTCCCTGTCCAGAGATGACGCGTCAGTTTCTCATTATTATTCTTATCCTATGAGAAGACCCTGTTTCTTAATTATTCAAGACAGCACGGTAACAATTTAGAATAACTATCCGTTATAACTAGTTAATTAACTAGTTAGTTATAACTAGTCCATTAATAAACTGTTAGTTAATGTGTTATAAATGACTTGTTAAATAAAAGTTTATTATATAATAATATAGAACTGTGATTTATAGATGGCCAAAAGATAACTTACAAGCTGTTAGTTAACAAGTTATAAATTACCTGTTAACTGTATTTGAACGATTTCTAACTATACCTAACACATAAGTAATAGATCATGAACAAGCTGTTAGTAGATTACCTGTTAAGACTTGTTAAGTATCAGTTCATAGTTTATGCATGTTATTGAGACTATATTCTAAAGTTGCAACTATTCTTAATTTATTAACTGTTAGTAAATGAGGAAGAGTTGCAACTAGAATAACATCCCAATATCATACATAAACTATTAACTGATACTTAACTATTATATTAACTCACACTTTACAGCTCAGTTGTTCACAGTTTGTTAACCATCTACTAATACCAGTGAAATTTTATAGAACTTTTCTTATAAATTTTATTTATTTTGTTTTCATGTTTAGCACAAAAAGTGCCCAAACCTCATGGGTTTGTATTATGTTGTATACTGCTGTTCTGCCAGGTAATGGCTCAGTATGTGTGTTTCTATACATTAAACACAATGTTCAACGGTTTTTGCAACTCACTTGAAAGAGTTTAGGAGCAAAATTAAACAACCCTCACCACACACCAGCTATTGGTGGAGTGGAGAGACAGTGATAGAGCCAATTCAGTGGATGGGGATGATCGGGAGGCCATGATCGTAAGGGCTGAAAGAGGGATTTTTCCAGGACACCGGGGTTATACCCTAGCTCTTTTCACGAGAAGTGCCATGGGATTTTTATTGACCACAGAGAGTCAGGACTTCGGTTTAACGTCTCATCCGAAAGACGGCGCCCACTGACAGTGTAGTGTCCCCTTCACTTTTACTGGGGCATTAGGACTCACGCAGACCACAGGTTGAGCGCCCCCTGCTGGCCTCACTAACACCACTTCCAACAGCAACCTAGTTTTCCCAAGTGGTCCCCCATCCAGGTACTGACCAGGCTCGACCCTGCTTAGCTTCAGTGAGTAACCAGTCTTGGGCTGCAGGGTGATATGGCTGTGAATAATAGGGCTGTTAATAAATGAAGAATAGTCGCAACTTTAGAATAACGTCCCAGTAACATATATAAACTATTAAGTGATATTTAACAACGCTTTAGTAAGTAATTTACCAACAGCTTGTTCATGATCTATTACTAATGTATTAGGTGTAGTTATAAATCATTAAAATACAGTTTACAAGTCATTTTTTAACTAGTTAACTAACAGCTTGTAAGTTATCTATTGGCTAACTATAAGGCACAGTTCAATAATATTATATAATAATTAACAAACTATTAACTTTTATTTAACAAGTCATTTATAACTCAATAACTAACGGTTTATTAATGATCTATTAACTAGTCATAACGGATATTTATTTTAAAGTGTTACCGACAGCACTTGCTTTTAGAAGACAGACCTGCCAAGTTGTGAGACTGCAGCTGCATAAGGCACATAGTATTTAGTTGTTCATGAGGTGTTATTCCTCCTTTACTTTGTTAAACATTATATATATAATGTGTATATATATATATATATATATATATATATATATATATATATATATATATATATATAGTAACTGGCTCCTTATAGTTGGTGCTAATAGCCTAGAGCACATATACTGTACCAGTATTATGCTTCGGGCATCCCAAGGTTTAGTCCCACCTTGTGGACCTTTTCACAAGAGAGACAGCATCAGCTTAGAAAGATTTATCCATTCATCTTTGCACCTTTTTCGGAATTTAACTGCAGAATGATGCTCTTTTTTCATTTTGCTCCATGGATCTGATTACTCATGAGACTTTAAAGCTATTCTCAGCAAAAGTTCATGCATGTTAGGTTTATGGCTTAATAATAAATTTGCAGTGCTTATGAACAGGTCAACAAAACTAGCACCCCAACTTGTTTACGCAGCATGCTGCTGAGAAAGAGATTTAACATCACCCTGAGAAAAGGGGATAAGCAACAGAAACAAACAACAACAAAGCACCAGGACTTCAAATTGTCCTGCCTGCTTCTGATCTATGGCCTGCTAAATTAAAACGCTATAAGACCACCACCTCTCAGTCGAAGGGGAAGCAATTTGTCTTGTGCTGCATGTGCACTCCAAAAAACATTTGTTGTCATCTTCTAAAAACACTCTATTATTGCCATGCATTGCATCAAGGGGCAGACAACAGGCCCATTACCTGCTTGTGAGCGTGGTCATACGAGTTGATGTGGTTGTCAAACTCTTGATGCTTGTAATACTGTTTGTCACACAGCTCACAGTAGAAGTTGGCCTTGAGGTCCTCCAGGGCTTTGGCCAAGGTTTTTTCCTTCTCAGCATAATCCTGTGAAAGCAAACAGAATAATCCATCAAGATTAAAGTTTTCAACTTTCTTAATGTTTTATGAAAGCACACAGTTTAGAGTGACCCGTCATTAAAAAGGCCTTTCAATTAATTTTAGATTGTACACATACCTTAAGGAGGAATAGTCAATTGTTTTCCTCAGAACATACTAGATATCCTAGGGTTCAATGCTAAGGATTTTTTGTACTGGTTCGATTGAAAAAAAACAAACAAACAAAAAAAAAAAAAACTGTGATTTCTCAGCCATATATTTTAAATAATGTGTCAAAAGCCAAACATAATTGTATACATTCACTTTTTATTCAGCAGAATCTTTCTTTAAATACAACTGATAATTCAAAAAATTACATTGTGATGTAAATACATTAAAAAAAAGAATAAACATTTCTTATACAGCCTAATTTCAGTTGTCAAGTTTTGTAAAAATATATTGAATTAATCAACTTGTTTAAAAAAATAAAAAACTTTGACTAGAATTATGCATTATAGGCTTACATTATAAAGATAAATAACAGATGAACTGAGACTGCAGTCTGATCCTGAAGCAGATCGATGTTGATCTTTCATTCGAGGTGTCAGTGCATAAATGAACAAAACAATTAGCGTAATACAAAATATTATAAGATTGAAATATGGAAAAAATGATCAGATAGCAATTTCTGTTAATTTTCCCAACGGATAAAGAGAACTATATTTCATCTTTCACTTTTGTATTCGTCATGAAACACACATTTGCTGGTAGGAATGACATCCCACTTTACACTCTCAGAAAAAGGTACAAAGTGGTACAAATAATGCTCCTTAAGGAAGTTTAGTACTTTTGTTTTTTACCTCATATGGTACAGAAAAGACCTCTTATAATACTGTTCTGTACCTTTTATGGTACAATTAAATTGGAGATACACAATTGTTCTCATATAAAAGGTACATAAGTACAACTCCTTTACTACAATATCAATGAAAATAAATATTACTGGAAAGGCAAAGTGATTTCATGAATAATTTCCATATTAAAACATGAAACTTCATTTTAAAGCATATGTGTAAAGAAACTTCTATAAGTCCTATAATACAAAAATGTATCTTTTGATTTTTGTTTTAATATTATTATTTTTTAATCTTTATTTTAAATTAGAACATGTGTATTCACACAAAAAGAAATGTTTTTCTAAACTAAAACTTTGTTTAATAAATGTATTTGATGTTTTTATATTTAATGAAAATAAATTGACACATTTTAGTTGAAGCAAAATGCCTTTGAATGGTTCTTGAACGAACACATTTGACACTGTTAAGGTACAAAGTGTCATCATCTCACTGTAGTGGTACACTCATGGATCAGATTTGTACCTTTGATGAGGGTACGATATTGTATTTGCAGATTTTGAAACCAATGGTCCATTTTGGTTTCCCATGGTACAAACTGCAATGGTACATATTACTTTTTTTTTTTTTTTTTACTAATTTTTCTGATATTGTACTCATACGTTCTTCATATAGCCATATATGCTTTTACACAATCATAACACACTGTGATATAGCCTGTTTCGTTAGTTTGTTGTATCATTTTGCTTTCTCACTACAACTGATCCATTCTAGAGCTCGTTTCAATCGAGCCGAGACTACCTCATTCAGGTGATCTCGGACTGATTGATTTGGCGTTGATCCAAGCACAATTGTGGTATTCACATATGTCAAACAAACCATGTTAACTGGGAAAACGAGACAGGTTCCGAAACAAACATCTTGGTGTGAAAGCATCCTATTTGCATGCTATTGGCAAACAGTTGCAGCCAAATTAAAGTTTAGTGACAAGGCAACACTGGCACAATCAGTCTAGTAAAGATCTTTTCTACTGTCCTGAGCATCTCGCACGCTGGCCCTGGGCCATCGGGCAGTCCTTATTTTAAAGCCCTGGTTCCTGTCATATTTCCCAGTGCTGGGTTGCAGCTGGAATGGCATCCACTGAATAGAGACTAAGCCAACGAAAAATAAATGAATGAATTTTTCTGTCACAATGATATCTATTCTTTATTTGTGAGGATGAATATTTGTGCTGCTCTCCTCTGAAAACGATGCTCATAAAATCTCGGCTCCCATGATGCCATGCTCATTTTCTTCCTCATCTTTAAAACTCTTTATTAAATATTGATTTACAACAAATCTTAGAAGGGAATACTTTCACCGGGGGCAGATTGTATCTCAAGTCTAATTCTACGCAGTGGATGTATGGGAACTTGCAGATTTAAAAACAAGACTTGAAAAAATAGCTATTCCCAAAAGGTCTCCAATACAAATGACCACAGGGAAGTGGAAAACCACTTCCATTTTAATTGGAATCGGCTCACTGTAAAATCCATCGCAGAGTCAAACGTGAGCCTGTCAGTTCTGTGAAAAACAGCTCGCAGATGAGGACTAGTAAATCAGCCAAGGATGATTAAGTCAACTATCAAACTTGTCAAGCAGAATGAGATGGCCAATAAATGATATACGATTGTTATCATCAGTCAAGAGCCGACAAACACATGTCTGGTGCTATTACTGACATGATCGTGAGCGTTTCACAACTGCATCAAAGCCATTAGACTGAGAGACGGGGAAGCCCGGCCCATTCAAATGATCCGATGCCTCGTGAAAATAGTCTGTCTCTCACTCATCTTAGGTGAGAATACGCTGCCGCTAAACACGCGGCTGTGATATGCAAAAATAATAACATCCCTCTCACCCGTTCCCACTGTGAGGCTGCATGAAACAATTGGCGTGTAATTGTATTTAATAAGTGGCTAGCTTACAGGTAATGAAAACTGAATCGCTTGATTAGCTGGGAGTGCTAGGAAAAGTGACCCTCATTTTCTTTAGCTCAACAGCACTGAAAGGTTAGACCAAAATCGCTTGCTCTCTATCAGGGAATGGTTACTCCTTTCCGTAAATGCTAGGACTGCTGTGTAGCAAGCTCTAGTTTTAAAAGACTTATTAGCAGCCCTGGATCTCAAGATAAACAACAGAGTCGGGGGAGTTTTCACATAAAAAAAACAACAACAAACAATCCAAGTTGGTTTTTGCAACTTACTTAAAAGAGTTTGGGAGCAAAATTAAACAACAGAACTAATATGTGGAAAGAAGAAGCCCGCAAAACAGCAAATGATGTGGTGTGAAGCTGTGAACTCATTTACACAGCAGATAGATCTAATCACTGCATGGGGGAAAGCAGCCACTTAACAACAACTTTGTGTCAAGCTGAGAAATCGCCCATACCTCTCTGTTCCTTTCTGGATTTTAGAAGCGAATGGGGTTGCTCTCAAGGGCATGTGACCATAGGCAAAGGCAAGGGTAATAAAAAGCGAATAATAATAAAAATTCATGATCTTTAGTGGTACTTTCTAAGGCAATGATTACTATTACTGTTCCTCATACTTAGCACTTCAAACAACACTTAGGATTAAATTACTGCTCATAATGCATCTCCAACTGTTTCCAAGAGAGTAACTGTAATACCTGAAATCAGTTGTAATAAGCGTTGTGCTACAATTTTTTTTAGAGATATGATTCAAAATGAAAACTTTAAATTCAACAGCCTTCTGTTCTTCTAAAATTAGCCTCCTATGTTTATGTTCACTTATTTCACATTAAAGACAATGAATACAGTGTAAAAAATAAATATTGAATGGGTCATGTTTTTTTTCCCTGGGAGTAATATTTCTAAAGGAGCTGTTGACATGGAATTAAACCAGATTTTGGTAAAAACCCAAACAATACAAACATAAAAATAAATAAAAATTTTAAGTAGATAAATTTGTTTTGTGATAAGAGTGAAATGACACAAGTAGAAAGTTCTGAACTACTCAGATGTAATTAATACTTTATATAAAAGGTTTGTTTTGGTGATGGAAGCTTAAAGAGACTTCAACAGAGTGTAAACATCTTGATGGTTTTCTGTGTCTCATCTAACAAATCTAATCTTATTTTGTATTTTCTATTTGATTCAAGTCAGGTGATTGGCTAGGCCATTCTTCAGCTTGATTTTCTTTCTTTAAAACTAATTGAGAGTTTCATTGGCTGTGTTTTGGATCATTGTCTTGCTGAAATCTCCGCCCTGGTTTCATTTTCAGTTCACACCTACATTAACAGGATGATAAAGCAGCTAATATTATTGTACAAAGGACAGAGGGTTGCTGAACAGCTACGAATAGATTTTATCTGCTGTCTGGACGTTGACTGCTGTTCTACGCCTTCCGTTCTTCATGTGTTCAATACTTTTTTTCATGTGTCATTATTATTTTATTACACAAAACCTCATTTGTAATCTAATTAGTTTAGTTGTCTTTGCAAAAATGGATTTATTCGGCTGTTACCAACATCTGGTAAAAATATCAAGTCAACTGCACCTTTAAAAATATGTTTTCTGAGAAAAATTGTGATGTGTTCAATACTTATTTTTCTCGCTGTATAACGTATTATATGTCTTAAAATTACTGAACCTACACATAGAAACCTGTGAAAAAAAGCAAAATTTTGAAGAACATTTCATATAGGAACTAAAGGTTTTTGCATCTGAACTCTTCAAATGCTTGTCTGTGAGACATTAAATTGGGTAGAAAAAATATCATAGACTATAAACCAGAGAACTTGCTAGAGATTTGGTACTGGGCTCTTGAGCTAGAGATTTGGTGCTGGGCTCTTGAGCTAGTAAACAGAATGCCCTAGCATTTCCAAATATGCTGTAAATAAATTTCAAACTTTCTTGTAATCCATGAAGCCTATTTCTTATGATACATGAAGTTTTGGACTAACATTTGTTTATACAATATAGTTTATAAAATATATTACAACATTTTTTTTTTCTGATTTGATTCCTTCTGTTTGTGTACTGTAGGCCATGCAAGAAAATCAGCAATCAACATTGTTGCCTGTAGTGGGATTCCTGGGTAAGTGATTGCAGTGCATTCTAAAATCAGTGTAAACACACATTTTCATAGTACA